TAACCACTACACCAACCTGGCTCTCTTTCCTTTCTATGGTGCAAAACTGTTCCTTTTCTTTGGTACAGACAAGAGGGTATGAAGGAACCACGTGGAAAGCTGCCCCCCTCCCCCAATTCCATTGTCTAGAGCAGGACAGAGATTCCGCACTCTCAACTGTGTTCCACTTCTCTTTGCTTTGCTCGTCAGAACTGAAGGGAAGGCCACTGAGAGCCATACTCTGCTACCTGCAAAGCCCCACCCCACATTTTAGAGGAGCTCAAGGTCACCCAGCAGCTGCAAGTGGAGGAGTGAGAAATCATACCCGGTTCTCCCAGATTAATCTAACCACTACACCAACCTGGCTCTCTTTCTTTTCTATGGTGCAAAACTGTTCTTTTCTTTGGTGCAGACAAAAGGGTATGAAGGAGCCACGTGGAAAGCTGCCCCCCCTCCCCCAATTCCATAGTCTAGAGCAGGACAGAGATTCCACACTCTCAACTGTGTTCCACTTCCCTTTGCTTTGCTCGTCAGAACAGAAGGGAAGGCCACTGAGAGCCACACTCTGCTACCTGCAAATCCCCACCCCACATTTTAGAGGAGCTGCAAGATCAGCCACTGGCTGGATATGGGATGCTCTTACCGGGAACTTTTAGGGGAACAGAGAGGTCAATCTGAACCACAGGTATGTGCTCAACGCCAGGGGCATCTTGGTACCGCTGGATAACACCAGGGAGGGGAGAGAAGAGAGAAATTTATATGTATATACACTGGCCATGCGCAACAGCAATACAGAATAATCCTCAACTTAAAAAAATAGCTATTATATCTCTCTTCTCCACTAGAGTATCAAGAACTGTAACTGTTATTTTTCTTTTTGTTCATAAAATTGATTCTGTAAAAGTGGGAATATAGAGGCAAATGCTGTATAGAATGAAATAAGTAGTAATAGCAATGAAAGAGGACTAATTAGGGCTAAGCAATGTTAGAAATAAATTAACAGGGAAAAAAGCTCTCTCTTTTTCTTCTTCTGAGATATACTTTGAAACTATAAGTTGAAACAATGAGTAAGATATGGTACTAGATATCCTATATGTACTGAAAATTTGGAAAAATAAGGTATTGTCCTCTAGGGAGAGAATCAAGTGATATGAAGGGTGCAATGTTATAATTAATTTAAAAAGTTGCTTTTTGCCTTCTGTATATAAGGTGGCATTTATATATATTATTTAAAAATGATATAGTTTTCAGGGAAATATAATGAAAATTAAGAAGGGGTTGGAAATCTTTATTTTGGTAGATATAATTTATTTTGGGGAAAGTGACCATAGGA